TTTTCCCCTCCCCCTCCCCCTCCATCCTATTGGGTGCAAGGCAAGCATCAGGTCAGTGATTCCCCTTTTGATCAACCACATTTCAAGCAGTGCACATCCTGTGGATTTACCTTTGTTGTCTTTTTATGTCAAAGTACTTGTACATCTTTTGAACATTGCAAAAACAATCAAAATATAGTAAGTTTACAAAACAGAACTATTCTCGGCGTTCTTGACTTAAGGGCTTGTAAAACAAGGTCCTTATCCAGCAAACATTCTTTTCATGACTATCTTTAGTATGCCCAGCCACTTGCTAATCATGAAGCAGAATTTTCTTTAATATTTATAATTAAGCTGGAACATCAAAACATCCACAAAAACTAATCAAAATAAATAAATGCATGATATCAAGCCCAAATGCTGATATCATGCATTTATTTATTTTTGAATGCTGGCTAAGGGAATTTAAAAATCCAGGTCAGAGCAGAAGAGAGTGAGATTAGTTGGGAGAACTGCTTTGGGATAGGTGAAATTTTAGTCCTGGGTTTCAAGGAAATGAAAGCTGATCCTTTGCTGGACAGTGAGTGTCTTGGCTTACCTTGGTCCCTCAGGGATGGGGTGGGCGCACTTGTACATTTAGAAATAACACTGACTCTATAGAGAGTGGGGAGTTTTTGTGTCTGGAGTTGTTTGCATGGGTAAAAAAGCACCTTGAATGGCGGACACGGGGCATAGCACATAGGGACCTGTGGGAGCAAAGGTAAAGGTGGGGAACACCCCCACTTTTACCATGGGGGAAGACAAATCCTGGGTGAGCTCGGCTGGGTGGAGCAGATTCCCCCAAAAGGCCCAGAGATCTTTCTGTCTCTGTAGGTAGCTGCAGCAAAATTCACTTCCACCTGCCCTACCGGTGGCAGCTGTTGACGCACACTTGGTTGGACCTCTCGGACATGGAGAAGATTGAGAAGGCCTACTGCGACCCCCGGAACCACATGTGAGTGGGTGACTGCCCTGGGGCTTAAGATCTGTGCCGTCTGGAGAAAGCAGAGCTTCTGGCTACTCATGCATTGGGCAATCTCTGGCTGCCGCTAGGGAGTCCGAAAACACTTGCTGACTCGAGTCAGTTAACGGCGGTGCTTATTTGCTAGTTGCTGCCTGTCAGTAAGTGACTTGGAAAAGCGCGGTCTAGAGGCCACTTGACGGCCTTCTCAAGTCATCACAGAGCCTCAGAAAGCATCGAGGAACTTAGAAGAAAGGAGCCTTTGGCTTCCTCAATGATGGTTCCTTGTGATTTGAGTAATTCCACGTAGTGGTACTGCGGAATGTGTTGTGTGCGTTGGCACTGTCTACTCTCCTTACACTGGCTCCGTATTCTGAAAGGGTCTAGCCTATGCACACTCCAGTCAACTATACGGGGACGTTGTGCAATGCTGCATTCCATCAGTAGAGGGCGGTATCAGCTGTCCCCTCCTTTCTAGGTTCTAACCCCACCCCACCCCCACTCCCAGATAGATACAGAATACAGCAGTTCCTCCCCTTTGAATCTCCACATTGACCCTTGCGGCCAGATCATTACTTATGGGGAACTGGTGGCCCATCTTCTAGGTCTCTATTCTTAATTCCAGGAAGCCCCACCCGAATGCCTTTGGATATAGTGGCATGTGCCTGGGGGGTCAACATTAATCTGACTGATCTAAGAGATCTTGCTTATAGTAGTAACTCTCAAACGATCTTGCCTGGGGACCCCCAAGACACTCTTAAAATACACTGAGGGCTTCAAAGACTTTCTGTTTATGTGAACTGTAGATATCAGGATTTATCATATTAATATTTAGAGCTGAGAAAGATTAAATATTTATGAATCCACTTAGTGACAGCAATCAAGTCACCATACGTTAACAAATAACATTTCTATAGCACTACATGTATATAATTATGTACCGATGCATAGATAACTGTAACAGTGACTGTTTTCCAAAACAAGATACACTGGAGAAATGTGTCATAGGTTTACATTTTTGGACAGCTCTTAATGTTTGCCTTAATAGAATGGGAGTTGGTTCTCATACCTGGTTCTTTATCTAATCTAGTGTGAAATTGTATTTCATTCCGCCTCTAGAAAACTTGTACAGTAATGACAGAAAGAAAGCAAAAAGGGCAAATAATGGTTCGATATTGTTATGAAAATGACCTTGCCAGTTCTCTGAAGGAGCCTTAGGCACACTTTGGCAACTAGTCAAATAATAATAAATATTTTTTAAAACTGACCTAATGAGAGCTTCCAACTTACTTTCTAGCATTGAGCCAATCAGTTGTTTCATGGACAGTTTTGTAAACATTTTTTGAATCTTTTTTTATTTATTTATGTATGTGGTATAGGGTCTCACTACATATCTCAGACTCATAGTGATCCTCCTTTTTCCACCTCCACAGTGCTGGGATTACAGGCATGTGCCACCACGCCTGGTTTCGTTGGCCGGCACAGCACAGGACCCCAACATGACATGTGACACTGGGGATCGAACCTGGGTCCCTGCGCTTGCCGGGCAGATGCTTAGACCACTGAGCTATCTCCCTGGCCTGTGGACAATTTTATTTGGTGATGTATTTTGAGGAAGCAAGACATTTTGTGGCATATTTAAGTATGTGATGTAGGCAAGTTAATAAATTTAGCTCTCAATTTTACCTTTTCTTTTAAATGTGATTCCTGGCACTGTAGGAAGAAAAGTCGACTATTTATAGCATTAAAAACAAAGGAAAGAAGACTTGAAAATCTTTCTCATTTCTAAAACATCAATCTGGGGTTGGAGATGTAGCTCAGTGGGACAGCACCTATCTGGCAAGTGTGAGGCCCTGGCTTCGATTACCAGCACACACACACACAGTTAATTCTGCATAATAGTTAGGGAAGTGTAGACTGTTGCGTTATTTATTTTATTTATTTATTTATTGTTGAGACAAACTATCTGACACTCAGAGTTAAAGGGAGAAAGGTTTCTCTAGCTCACAGTTTGTAGAGGTTTCAGTCCATAATCTGCTGGCTCCAGGCAGGGTGGCCTGGAAGAGGGCATCGCGGAGGAGACACTGCCCTTGGTGGGCAGAAGGTAGCAAAGCAGCAAGGGGTGACCACAGCTCTTTCTGTCCTTTATGTCTTATCCAGGCTCCTTAGGACAGGCCCTTGAGCCTACCACCCTCGATCCTAGCCCTGAACCTTGAATCAATCCCAGCATCACACAGTCCAGATCCAGCCACCTCTGAAGAAGCCCCACCTATGCCCCCCTGAGGCCTTGAGGGGACATCTAGACACGAGCTTTAACAACTGTAGAAGCAGATGTCAATACGCATTCTATTGCTTTTCTACTTTTTCCTTCTCAGGATTTCAGTAGGAAATTATACAATCGACTTCCAGAAGATGACGTGTGGCAGTAGGCCCATTCGACGCATCTCTACCCCTTCGTCTGGTACGAATCGGACCGATTCAGCCTTCACCACCAAGTGGATTTGGTACTGGCAGAATGAACTTGGCAAATGGGTTCCGTATGGCGAAGGGGTGAGTACTGTTCTTCCTTGTGGGAGGCTTTTGTTCAGAGTTTCCAATTTAAAGAGGAAAAACCTCTTAACAGCATATTTGATGTAAGGAGGGAGTTTTGTGTTTCGTTTTTGCTCTATACACAGCTGGGTTCATAATTTTTCACCAAGCGTATTCTCCAATTGTAATTAGGAACCAAAACTTTTCTTGGTACTACTGATTGGACCCAGAGCTTATGCATTGAGCTTATGCATTATTACATGCCCAGCCATTTTTTTTTTTTTTTAAATTTTGAGATGAGATCTTGCTAAGGTGCCAAGGCTAGGCTTAGATCTACAGTCCTCTTGTCTTAGAATGCTTCCAGAATGCTGAGATTATAGGGGTGTGCCATCCCGCTCTGCTTACTCATTATTTTTAAGGAACCCCTGCAGACCTGAATTGGCTTTGTGTGACCTCTTTCCTCACTGTCAGGGATAGAATAGAACCTTGAGATAGTCATGTATTGGCAATGAATGTTGAGGGACCAGGGATATAGCTCAGTGGCACAAGTGCCAGCCTGGAAAGCGCAAGGTTCAGAGTTTGATTCCCAGTACCAACAACACAAGACAAAACAAAAACCAATGAATGTTGAGCCAGGCCTGATGGTGCACATCAGTAATAGCAGCACTTGAGAGGCTGAGGCAGGAGCAACTCTGCGTTCAAGGGCAAACTGGGCTACCTAGTGAGGTCAAGGTCAGTGTGAAAGCCATAGCGAGGCCCTATATCAACCCCTCCTCTGAAAAAAGAAAGAAAAAAAGAATCACAGAGACTACTGCTTTGAGCCTGTCTTTGAGTCAAAATTCTTAACACTCACAACCGGAAGAAGTTTATCATAGGTTATAGTTTCTGAGGGTTCTGTCCATGGTTCCAAAGCAGAAATGTCAAGGTGGGAGGGCGCTGTGGGGAAAAGCTGGTCAGGCCCCAGTGGCTTAAAGCAGAGGGAGAGGGAATGAGCCAGGGTCAAGAACACACCCTGCAGGCCACACCTCCAGTGACACACTTCCAGCCAGATGCCACCCCCTGAGAGCACACTCAGTGACAAACAACTCATCGATGGGTGAATCCGCTGGAGTGTGGAGCACCCCTGTGAGTCACTCACTTTCTGGAAGCCCACCTCTGCACAGCGAGACTTGGGGGAGCCTGTTAGATCTGAACCCTAGTAGCCAATAAAAGGAGGGTAAGAGAGCAAAGTTGGAGAACAGAGAGGATGGGATGGTTAATTGTATGGGAGGATGTGTTAATTTGTTCAATCAGTGAAACGTGCCTGGAATAGGGAGTCACTGTACTCAGCTGGGTTGTGTGTAAAGGACTGGAATTTGAGGATTCTAGGATAGAAGTTTAGAGTTCTAGGAGGGAAGTTAGATAAGCTGAGCTGCTATCCCTCTGCATGAGCATCCCTTCCTTTCTTTTCTTTTTAATGTAATTAGTACAAGGTCTATAGAGTCTCACTACACAAATCAAACTTGTAGTGATCCTCCTGTTTTCAGCTTCCCAAGTGCTGGGATTACAGGTGCGTGCCCCCACACCCAGTCTCAGTCACCGGCTCAGCGCACCGCAGAGGTGGAGCCTACACGGCATGCTGGGGATCAAACCCCTAAGTGGCGCTTTAGTCCTATCAGCTATCCGGCTAGCCCTCCCTTCCTTTCTTGTTAAAAATTTATTTTAAAGACAAAAAAACTCCCAAAATTTCAAAATAAGATACTAGGACAATAACAACGATTAATACATTGTATATTGTTATCTTTAGACTAGTTACTCAGAGTACAAGACACAGACTTTTTTTTTTTTGGTACTAGAAATTGAAAACAAGATCTTATGTTTGCCAGACAGGTGCTGTGCTGCTGAGCTATATCACTGGCCCAACGTACAGGCATTGAATTGTCCGAACAATATTAGCACAGACCTTTCCTTTCAATGAACTGAGAGAAATTAGTAATATAACTATCTTAACTATCATATATGTGTTTATATATGATATATAGTTATTTATTTATATTTGCTTTTCTCCTTTAGCTCATCCCATATTCTTTCTTTCTGAAGTTTCTTCCCATTTTATAGTATCTATTCTACATTTTGGATCTTACTTACTTTTTCAGCTTCTCACACTAGGGAGACAATATGATGTTTATCCCTGTGAGTCAGGTTTATTTCACTTATGAATGTGGTCTCTAGCTGCATCCATTTACCTATAAAAGCCTCCCATTTATTCTTCTTTATGGCTGAGTAGTACTCCATTGTATAAAATGACCACATCTTTTTTATCCATTCCTCCCGCTGATGGTCAATTGAGTCGTCTCCAAGATCTAGCACTTACAAATTGTGAATTAGCAGCTGGGTTTACCTCATAGATTAATGCGTGATGGTCCAAGTTTGCAGCTCTTTGGTTTGACTCCGTGCAGTTTAGATTATTTCGAGAACAGTCTCCTGTGGCCTTCAGACAGTGCCCTGCAGGATTTCTCTCTTGTTGCTGAGCTTTGAATCAGAGTTGGGCAGCTGAGTCCTGGGCTAGGAACTTCTGTTATAGGGCCTTAGGGTGCAAACGTTTTCTTTTTTTTTTTAATTTTATTTGTGTGTGTGTGTGTATGTGGCCAGCTCAGCCCACCAGGGGGCGGGGCTGGCTGGCATGTGGTGCTGGGGGATTGAACCGCAGTCCCTGTGCTTTGCTAAGCTTGTTCTAAGTAGGTGCTTTAGACCACTGAGCCATCTCACCAGCCCGCAAACATTTTCACTAGCACAAGGTAGGTGGATTTCCTGACACAAACTTTCTGGAAGGTAGAACAATGTTCTCTGATGGACGTTAGGCTGCTTAACCAGGGCTTGGACACAGTGGAGTTAGAGGTGGCCGTAGAGATGCCGTGGTGTGAAAGCGATGACTGCACAGCCGGGCAGCCAGCCGGGCAGGGAGGGTGTAGGACGGCTGCCGAGGGTGGGCCCTGGTAGTCACGGCCTGCGCGGCCCAGCGGGCACGCAGTTCAGGTCCTTGCAGTGCTGCGCCAGCGCACAGCTCAACTCGGGAGCTGTGGAGCTCACACGTGGGAACAGCTGATCGTAGCCTTGGAGCAAGGGCAAGCCTCAGCTCTGGAAAGTCCAGGTCAGAGCAGTAACAGAGACACAGGACGGAAGCCAAGACCTGGCTACTGCAGCTGAGGTATGAAGCCAAGCCTTGTGGGAAATAAGAAAGAGAAAGTGCAAATGTGCAGGAATTGTTTCCTGCCCGCAGAATGGGGCGCTGTAGTCTAGGCCAGGACGCACTAGAGCTATTACATGAGCGGTACCTGAAAGGGAGCATCTCATAAGGCTGTCACTGCCTGGCACTCGGGAGCCTGAGGCAGCTCTGTCTGGGAAGATTTCCAGGGAGCCGGGGCCAGCTCAGCACACACACAACCAGAATGGCTTGCAGAAGACACACCTGGCAGTGGATCCGAACAGCAGACAGGTGTAAAAGAGAAGAAAGCCTCCTCAGACTCAGAGAGCTGGCTCCAGATGAAAGCCCTGTCAGTCAGTCAGCCGTGTGACCTGTGTGTCACACACTTGTGACATCAGAGTTCCCCTCTGCTGTTGGTCTATAAGAGCCATGCATGAGCAGACCAGTGTCTGAGACTCATCTGTGATGCTGACTCACCCAGGGGAAATGTCACCCGTGGGAACCTTGCCACCCATCAGAGCCCTTGGACATCAGAAGTGCAGTGTGAGGCCAGGGCCAGGAAGTGCAGCCTG